GTTTCCTTAACGATCAGCCACTGTTTTTATCAAACACAATTTGACTGAATTGATGACAATCGTATCAGAAGTGTTGTTCTTACAGAAGCAGAGATTTTACAAAATTTCACTTTAATTTTTATGGCTAATTGAAATTGCACGTGTACTCTTGGGGTACGTAAGTTACTAGGAAAACTCAATTTGCATAACATTAATATTTGATATTAATTTACTTTCATCAAAAATTAAGAATTCAATCATCCATCTTTTCTCTCATTCATTTTTCATWTCTTTTGTCTTCTTTTCATTTTTTTAATTGAAATTTTAAAAGCAATTCCTTAATCCTCTCTTGTGTCAWATTCCAGGGAATTACCAGAATTGGCTAAAAATTATGTATTAAGGACRCTCTTCACAGATCAACCAATCCCTGAGAGTCTGGTTACATCGTGGGTAAAAGCAGAGTTTCACAAGTAAGTTGTAAAGAGGTTGAAATAATTGGCTTTCAGATGCTTGTGAACAATTGTTAGATAAGTGCTTTGCTTTTAGGAGTGGAACTCCATTTCCTTAATCACTTTCATTGTAAATATGTCAGATGAACTAATGGTTTCAATTCTTAAAAAGGAAAGTCTACTGAAACTCATCTTGAATATCAAGTTATCAATAACAATAATTTATTTATATTAATGTAGGTTCATCATTGTAAAATATAACATATGCAGTAAGTAAAACTAAATATTATACTTTCTTTATCATAAGACATCATATTGGATCAATAAAGAAACTTAAAGCATTACGAATATGGAGAGATACTATGATTGGTGGACCAACAAGATGYGAAATGAACCCTACATTTAGAAGTAACTTAAAAGCAGCATTGTGTGGAGGGTAAGCTTATATAGACACTAATTTTYACAGCATTTTTGTATTGGTTACCATTTCTCAAGGACAAGAAAAAGCRCAAAATAATATCCATGCAAAATGAATTAGAGTGTGAAAGACAGCATTTCGTASCTCACCTCAAATTACTTTCTTTCTATAGAGGAAGTCCATGGGTAAAATACACAAGTCCRCTTGAACCAGATAAGCACAAYAGAGAAGCTGATTTCTTTGACAAATATGCCACAGAAAGATGGGAAGTAAGTATCACAAATGGTTTATTCACTTATCAAGATATACACTTAGATATTGTCTTAAATTTAGGAATAATTCATGACATTAAACTAGGATAAATTGCTAATAATACAAGCTCTTGTTTGTACTGTAAATTTCTCAATTAATATTATCTGTAAATTTGACTGGAATTTGAGAAGTAAGTCCTTGTGGTTTGGAAAGCTAGAAATATAGCACACACTTGCTGACTGATATGCAAAAGTCTGGATAATGAAAGTTGGTCATTTAAGTTAATAACAGTTACTTAATGTATCTGCTTTTTAGACAGTTCTTCATTTTATGACTGGTTCATATGACAGCAGTAGTTCTACAGGAGGYGTCAGTCAAGATGTCATCAAAATCCTTGTTCTCAGTGGTCTTATGAAATGGTAATAAAGCACCCCTTCAAATTTTCACTTTTTTTATTTTTCCATTATTTTTATCAACGTCCTATGAAACAACTACATACTTGTGTACAATATTTCCATGATAMTTCTAGTGAAACCCCTGGTACAAGTCCAGCAATCAGTCCTGCAGGATTTCAATTCCTACTGATGGACAGAAGTTCTCAAGTTTGGTATTTTATGCTACAATATTTAGAGACAGTTGAGGTATATCGATTTGTATCAACTAAATTCATGTTTGTATATGTTCACAAAGACATGTAACTTTAGCAGATGAACAATCATTATGAGATATGATAAAACTCATGTTCTGACAAGTCAAAGCATAGATTACATTAGCTGTAAAAATGTTTGTTCACATAAAGACTTCATTTGACTCAAATTTTAGTCTTCATTGCATGTTAAACGGTTTTCTTTTTTGCCTTGCCGGGTGTTTTTGTTTAGCTATAAGGATTGAGAAAAACAAAGATTATGAGCTCACAATATTGATGTTTTTCTTAGGCCTGGGGAATGGATCTTGTGGACTGCTTGTCATTTTTATTTCAATTGAGTTTTTCTACACCCTCAAAGGTAAAATTAATAATAATTAAAATAATCTGTCTAATCATTATTATCAAGCCATCAAACCCCAAAGGCAAGACTTGACATGATAACATAATCTACAATGGAAAGTAAAAGTAAATAGTATAGGAAATGTTGTTTTAAATACATTTTTATTGCATTTTTTTTATTGTTATCTGTAATGAGTTTTCATTTTCTRAGGATGTCAGTTGTCTCTTACCTKTARTACAATGCTGTTATTTTAGGAGTAYCCAACAGATGGTTTAACAGAATGTCAGTTAAAAATGCTCCAGCACTTAAGAGAAATTGGATTAGTTTACCAGAGAAAGGTACTTATAATTCAGTAACCATACACAGCTTACTTACAGTAATTCTAATCCATCTATGTGATTAATAATTTCAGAGGAAATCCAGGMGATATTATCCAACAAAGTTAGCTGTTAATTTATCATCTTCAAGTGAAGGTAAAGGCAATTAAACCAGAACACTTGAATTGAATAAACTCATTCTAAAAATGTAGTGTTTTGGTTATGGTATAGAAAGGTCAAGTGTACTAAATCAGGGRGAAGAAGGTTACATTGTTGTAGAGACAAATTATCGTGTTTATGCATATACAGGTATGTTACTGTAGTGAATAATATAAAGTTTATGGATAATGTCATTAATGCTCTTAGGGGACTGGGGAAGGCTGAGTGGAAAAAGTAGGGAACTCTCCCCGGTCCCCTTAGTGCTGCTATGCAGGCTATTATGTTGAAATCAGTTGAAATTTTTCTTCAAACTTGGGCACACTGTGKTCAGAAACTCTTTGGGTGTTTAAAATTTGTATTTGCTATCAAACTATGTTGACAGAGCGCTTAAACATTTTTAGCATATTTTCTTGATGACATATGTTTTGCTGAAAGCTGAAAAAATGTCATAATTAAATGTATTTTCAGATTCTTCACTGCAAGTAGCTCTCATTGGTTTATTTTGTGAAATTTTGTGCAGGTGAATATTCCTAATGAATCAGTATTTATAGGCGGATCTTTGTTTACAAAATTTTGCTAATTAGCATAAAGTTTAAATTAAAGAAAACTGTAAAATAAGTTTATAATGTAAAACGGCTTATTAAGAACTATAAACTACGAAYGTTTGAGGTCATTACATCGAATAGTTTATAAGATATTAGCGTTCAAAGATGCTGAGTGGCAAAAGCGCTAATTAGCTTGTTTTAYGCAAAAAGTATTTCACATGAGAAGCTCAAAATTGCGTGGAAAGCKTATTGTGCTATGTTGTTTCAATATTCAGTGCTGATTTACTGATAGTTGGGTTAGAACATTATATCCTTATGCTAATGATATGTTAATGAACCGAAATGTAAACAAATTATTCGCCTATAGTGGGTAGGATGTGCAAATGCACAAGATAAACAAGGCCACAGGATCTCCAAGGATACCATCAAAGGCAACTCTTTGCTATGGGCTTCCTGTTGCAAACCGAAAGATGGATGTATGCACCCTTATTGAGATATACTAATATTCATCAACAGGTTTCCTAACTTGTGTGTAGCAAGCCTTACAAGAGAAAGCTGTCATCAAGTGAGTAACAATTACAACAGTATTAATGAAAGCATTTTTTGTATGTTTTTCTTAATTATGCCTTTTTTAATACTTTGTGTCAAGAATGTTGTTTTTCATTGCTACAGGCTTTATCAAGTGGAATATCAGCAGAGCAGGTACATARTATCATATAGCCTTTTTGACCAACACTTTTTATAGAATATTTTTCACTTTTGATAGAATACTGAGGTCATGGCAGGTCTCTATGATATTATCAAGAAAAAAAAATATTGTTTCAGTTTCAGTTTCAGTTTATTCAAATTCAATTACATATTACAATTACATATATACCTGCAAATAGCATATAGCTAGTCTAGGCAGGTAAATTATATATTACATTRAAAACATTATTTAAATATTAAATATATTGATTTGACATATTACACTTTTTTGACTTATTTATATCTATTGTTGTGATAAGACCCAAATTGCACATTGAAGGCATCCTTTGAATTTGTTAATTTTTAGATTCTCCACTTTCTAAGGACTCGTGCTCATTCAGAAATGTTGAAAAAGGTAACAGTTATAATGAAAATGTTTTTTATCCAYTGATATAAATATACGTCCTATTTTTTTTAATTCTTTGTTTTAAATGTAGAATCCCATCATCCCAGCTACAATAAGTGATCAAATAAGACTTTGGGAAATGGAAAGAAGTAGAATGAAGTTTACTGAAGGTGAGAGAACTCTTTTCATGGTCTTCTCCCTGTAAAAAGGGTATTTTTATAACCCTGAAACTAAAACCCTCCACCCACCCCACCCTAAATCACCCTACCCCATTTGTCTCTCACCCAGTCATATTGCTAATTTTTGTTTTGTTTTCTTGTTTTTGTTGTTGTTTTTGTAAAGGTGTTCTATACAATCAGTTCCTCTCTCATGAAGACTTTGAAACTCTTAGAAAATATGCAGAGGTGAATATTGTTTTTGTTATCCAAGAATCTAGCCACCTTTATGTTATTGAGTTCTATATATTAAAAAAACATTCTTTGATACTTAGGACCTTGGCGTTCTTATATGGGCAAACTCAACAAAGAGGGTTGTCATAGTTAGTCGTTCAGGACATGACGATGTCAAGAGATTCTGGAAGCGACAAAGACCAAAATGAATTTGTTAGAATATTATATTATAAAATATTTGTACATTTTGTAAGAATAAATTGTATAATAAAAGGTATTTAAAATGCTCGTGTGACGTCCAGCATGTTTTAAATGGCCCCCAACCGCTGCGCAATAGAAGGGAATTAACATTCCAACAATGTCAAAATCCCGCCATTTCCCTGCCCTTAGAGGCCTAAAAGGAGGCTAAATGGATTGTTTTCTTTAATTTAGATGTTAATTTCTCCCGCCTGAATAGGAACGTGTTTTTTAAAACACGTTAAAAATCCCCTCTATAATGTTACATAAATATTCAAGTTCAACACAGGAGTATTTTTTTTTCAAATGACGTGTCTTAAATTGTCATGGAGAAGTAACTTATATATATTGTCTCTGTTTTCGCATCGTCGAGCGTCGATCGCCTAAAGCGTTTTTCGCGCCATAACAGAAAAAGCCAATTCAATGTCAATTAACGCTAGCCAATCATAACAAAGAACAAATCATCAAAAAGACAAATAACCGGTTCAACCTTTAACACCATCAGCCTCGTTATGGCGATGATGTTATGAATTCCTGTGACGGTCAAAAATTGATCATTGAAGTCTGCCATAAATCATGAAAAGTTCTGAAAGAGATCTTGTTCCTCGTCCTTTTGTTGGGTCCAGGGAGATCTTGGAGTCTCCAGAATCGAGCTCAAGCATKGAAGGACTAAACAGCGAACAAATGACTAAAGCTTTACCATCAGAGTTCGTTAACTATTTGCGGTCTTTGTTTGACATCCTGGATCAGGAAAACTGTGGATTTGTAAAAATAGATGACATCGAGCAATACTGGGACGCGAAAGGTTCATCATTTTCAGGTGTTTTGGACTCATTAAAGAAGCTGTCACCKCCAAATGGACTTCTTAAATTCGAAGATCTTTGTAGGGGTCTAAAACAAGCTATTCGCAGCTCTAATACTAAGCTTAATACAAACACGACGACTAGCTCTACAAGAAGAGTTGACTTTCCAAAAGAAACAGAATGCACTTCAGATTCAAGCGAGGATTCTTTTAAAGTTTACAACGAGTCAAAAGACTCCGAAATTAGGGATAAAAAAGATGAATTTATAGACACACAAWCCAAGAACTCKTCAAGGGAACAACTTGATTCTTTGCCAATCAGTTTATCGAACTCGAATCTCACTCGTAAGTAAATATATGTGTCGAATTTCAAAGCATCCACTCAAGTGCCTTCAAGATATTGAATTGGAATATTTATAAATTTCATTTATGTATGAACKTTTGTTTTTATAAGATATCAAGACGAATTCTACTTCCAAAGTTTATTTTGTTGGGAAAGAATCTAATGGTGACGGCTTGCGAGGGGGTAGTAGTAAAGTCGGTCCCCCTGCTATTGATAAGGTGATATAAAATATTTTGTTTTGATATTATTGTATCTTGTTGAAGCATATTTTTAGTTGAACCTTCAATACTGGAAACTGCTTGTAGATCTACTGCGTTTAGATGTGATTTTTATTYATTTTCAAAGGTCATTTTAATGAACATGAATTTTTGTTATAAAAATTATTATACGCCTTTTGAAGCGAGCCGGTAAATGGTGCGTGCAAGTAAAAATTCATTTTAGCGGATTATAAACAGTTTGAATTTTCTAAGCGAGGGGTAAAATGCAGATCAAGTGTAACATTAAAGAATAACAATGTGTGTTTAATAACGCAGCTTAAACAATATAATTCCCATGTGTTAGTTTTCATGATTAAAATATTTTCTTCGATCAAAAATTCATCGTTTTCTGTCATAAGTTATTTTTTTGTTCCTCATGAATTTATTTCTGGTTTGAAAGTCAGAAAGTGATTTTAAAAATTCATGTGAATTGATTTACATGTAAATTATCCTCCGGGGAATTTATTTATTTATATTGAATTTAGGAGTCTAGACTGCCTTGATACAAGCACCAATATACTTAAAATGCTTCGTTGAGCTAATTTATACGCAAATAGAATAGCTAGAGGTTTTCTTGATGCAAATATTTTGGACAAAATCCATCGTCCATCATCAGTGCTTACTCAGTAAGTTAATTTATACATTGATGATGGACTGGAATTTGTTTGAAATATTTTATAAAACCTCTAGTTATCCTATTTGCGTACCAATATACCTAACATCTAATGAATATTAATGGAACAAAGAAATATATATATTCTTTTTATTTTTTAGAAAACAAGGTCTTCACAAGTTGAGGAAGAATTAGAAATACTGAAAAATGGACTTACRGTCATAGAGAAAGCACGGAAATGGTATTTTAGAAGAATTACTGCYGTTCAGGAAGAAAAACTACATCTCCAGCAATCGGACCAAGCTTCTCTTGAACAGGTTAAAAATTTAAGAACCTAGAAAATGCTTTATTAGTTCAGTTTATATGCCTGATTGAAAGTTTAATAGCTATTTTTTCCCCTGTTATTCTTTCATTTATTCATTATTCATTTCTCTTTTTCCATTCAGTTTCAGTATGARATGCTGTTACACAACCATCGAAGAAAAGAGCTAAACCTCACYGAAGCTTCATTCAGATCTTACAAAAGAAATATCGAAGAATTGAATAATTACATATCTAAACTTGTAGAAAACCCCTTAGAACAATTGGTAAGTTCAGAAAATAATAAACAGAAATCAGTTCATTCATAGAATTGTAGGACTTTTGCCTATAACCATCACATAATTCCTATATTTCAACAGCCACCCCCCAAACTAACAGAAGCATCCAAACCTCCACCYGAGTATGTTCAACAATTAAGAGATGTAAGTACATTTTGAACAAAGTCATTGTCATTAATATGCACAATAGTGGCCCATTTTATTGTTGTTTGTGTTAATTGGTTTTGGGTTCCCTGTGTGAAAAAATAGAGGAGCCAKTGGMCCAGATAAATMATMATCCARCTTRTAAACTGTGGATAATTTTGTATAACAGGCCCAAGYGAGACTAATATTGCAAATTATGCTTTTTTTCTAGGACCTTTTTGCTAAGAAGAATCGGATTGCCCAACTAGAGAAAGAGAAGTCAGCTCTTATAAGAGATTTATTTAATGCYAAAGCATCAATATCTGGTAGTAATACAAATATCCCACCAGAGTGACTTTCTGATAGCAGTTGAGTTTKAATACAGCTATATATTCTCCGACGGTGTCCAGTTRAAAATATATCATTTAGTCRTCCTTTTTATKWAATGCTTATCRCTTTAGCACCACACTAAACRGCTGGGACTAAAGAGCTGTTTGCAAAACAGAGGTGTCTATAAAACTTGGTTGTATTTACTATAAAATTAATGAGATTTTTCATTTTTCAAGTGGACAACTATCCCAAGAATATTAGCTATAATTGTGTTCCAGTTTTTTATATGGAATTTTGAAAGGCCTCCTTTCTCAGAAATAATTTATATGGATTATAAATAATGCCAATTGAAAAGAAAAGACACATTATTTAAGAGCACTGATATCACAATATTTTAATCTTTCTGCTGTATAATATTTTTTATATAATTGGTGTTTRAAAAAGAGTTGTTTTAAGGTCACATCGGTGCGCTCCACCTCTCCTTTMCCCTTACCTATCCCAAGGTCCTTAGAGAGACACACACTCATACTATCGTTTTAGTTATAATTACACAAAATATTTAGRGGAAATACAGATTCGTTAAATTTTTATAACATTTTACTGTGGTTTGTTATACAACAGACGTCCTTGAACTTCCATTTGTAAATAGCTGAGGACTAATCTTTTTTTAAAGATATATACTAAATACAAAATAAACTGCATTTTACTAAACTTAATTGTCTTTTGTACTTCAATAAATTGTGGTTTCAGTTCACGCTGTTGGTTATTTTTGCAAGACGAATTTTCATTGCTAATCCATGTGGGATATAGCTATGAAATGACGATACGTAGCGCATGCCCAATTTTGAAATTTGAAARCTTAAAGTTTGTGCTTCGACCATTACATAAAACATTAATTATCTTAATCTTTAGAATTGGAAGCGAAATCCCTCTGTGCATATAAAGTAAACATCGATTATTTCAGTCTCTTCCAAAGAGAACAACGATGTTGGATTGCTTGCMAGTTTAATCAGAAAACATGCACTGTTAATGTTTGCGCAGGTTGGTGGACGTGAATTATTATATGCCGTTGCAGACTCGATGTATTTTAATCTAGTATTTCTTGTTTCTGTTTCCACCATTTGCATGTTTATATATTGCCATGTTTAAAAGCACCCAAGAATAAAGTTATAACACAAAAGCCTTTTCARCGCGCACCTGCAGTTCTACTGGTGACCGACACAAATTCACCTTTTTAAAATGGCTTTATTTCACAAATAACAACGCATTTKAAAAGAAAACTATGAAAATAATACAACGAACACTTCTACTGACAATAACATTTCTCGGATCTATCCTTTTTGTTGTGGTAAAGTTTCGGTGTTTTACTTCTCACCGAAAAGAGGAGCGACTGTCACCGATCATCTTCGTTGGCGGATTTCCTCGAAGTGGCACAACGTTAATGAGGGTTCTACTAGACACTCACCCTGATATAAGATGTGGACAAGAAACTCATGTCATCCCAAAGTTTCTAYTACATCTTGGTTACATTAACAGAAAGCGCGAGAAAAGACGCTTGAATGAAGCCGGCGTGACRGAAAACGTCCTAGACTCCGCCGCGGCTTCTTTTATCTTTCAAATCATAAAAAATCACGGCGCACCAGCGCCAATTCTATGTAACAAAGATCCTTTATCACTACGAAATACTACCTATCTTTCTAAACTTTTTCCTAATGCTAAATTTGTTCTTATGGTACGAGACGTTCGCGCTGTAGTCCATTCTATAATCTCAAGAAAAGTCGTGATTCGGGGACTGAAGAATCACACTTACGAGGATTTGTTCAGGAAGTGGAGTTATGCAGTTGAGAAAATGGATAACCAATGCACTGCGCTGGGACGTCGAAAATGTTTATCTGTATATTATGAGCACCTTGTGCTGTTTCCAGAGCGGACTATGAAAGCAGTGTTTGATTTTGTAGGTGTCAAATGGAATGACCGCGTTTTACATCACGAGCGACTCGTGGGAAAGCCGAGGGGACCTGTTGTATCAAGGTATRCTACTGTCAAAACCATCAAATATTTTGACATTTTCAGCGTACCATTTTTGCTATAATTTACTTTTTATTCTTTTTTTTCCGGGTGGAGAGGGGCATTGCTTGGGAAATACATTAATAAAAGGAGCTAGCCCCCCTGTCGGCGTTGTTTAAGCTTTATGTCCTTTATGATGGCTTAGGGGCAAGTTCCCTGACTCCATTGCCCCATCTTCCCTCCTCCCAGCTAATGTTAATGATACTTATCRATTTATTGTAGTCTTGAGAAGTCCAGTGACCAAGTGAAAGAACCAATATACCATTCTTCATTATATGGGTGGATGGATGGGCTGCCTGTAGAAACTTGGAAATATTTGGATGAATTGGCACCAATAATGAAACAAATGGGATATGATACAGTGAGCCAAAAACCTGATTACCAGAAAATGGCAGTTAAATTATAGCTTACAATTTGCTTTCTATATTTACATTAAATTTATTTTTTATATTACAAGGATATTTGAAAGCTTGCATATTTTTTCTGTTCAATAAGTTAAAATTTAAAAAAAATATAAAATATCAAAAGGATACAAGAGGTTTACTAGCCTGTGTACATTTGTTCCCACCCCTCTACGGATGTACACAGACTTTTATTTTTCATAATGTGATAATTTTGAATGGATGTAAATACTTCGTTTTCACACAAAATAAAAACAAAAAATTCCAATTAAAATGAGAAATGTTTTTCGAAAATTTGCTTGGGTACCCTGTGCTTGGAACCCAATCCACCCAACCGTGAAACATGCGTCCATAATCTGCATGCAGTGAATGACAAGGAAGTCGAATCCCGCTTGTGGTCTGTATTTTCGTCAGTTCTAAAGTCCGACAAACAGATACTTTCCTCTATTACCTAAATTACACAATGGCTTCTTTCACAGAGCGAATTCTGCCCAAGAAAAGCTCTGATTTGGCTGCATTTGGTTTTATGGTTGTCATGCTTTGGGTCATCGCTTTATTCGAACTGTTTATCGTCTTGCCTCAATTCTACGAGATCTTTTCAACCTGGTACATGATCCATGTCTTCTGTGGCATTTTYCTATTCCTCAACGTGTTTTCCAATCTTTTAAAAGTAATCATGACTGATATTACAGGCGCTGACCTCGCCCTACCGTCGGTACTTAAGCCMGGCTGGACKTATTGTCCGTACTGCCAAATGAACGCCCCGCCCAGAGCTCATCACTGTCATGTGTGTAACGTTTGTGTTCTACGACGAGACCATCACTGYATTTTCGCTGGGAAATGCGTAGGACATGCTAACTATCGATATTATCTTTTCCTTGCCTTGTATCTGTGGATAGGAGCTTTGTATGCTAATGTTCTTCATTGGGGATATGTCACAAGTGTGATTGGCAACTTCGGGTGGATCACTATGTTTACAATGTTCATGCCGATGCTGTCATTGATGGCAGGRTATAGCACACTTTATCAAACATTTGTTACATTCATGGCTGGGATTTCAGTCTTTGCACTTTTGATGTTTTCTCTTCTTCTATTCTTCCAAGTGAATATTATTTCTCGAGGCCAGACTTCTTACGAAAGAAAGAAGAAAAAAAGGCTATATGACAAGGGTGTTGTCCARAACTTTTTTGAAATAATGGGAAAAAAGTGGTACTTGGCATGGTTGTGGCCAGCACTGCCGTCGCCACTTCCTGGTGATGGTACAACTTACACACAAAMCATAGGACTTGAAACTTCAAAAGATATATGAACTAGATAGTAAAACTCTTACAATGTAGCTAGGAATGAAATTATAAGAACTGAAGGCATATTTAGTAATTTTCTTTGGGGGGAGGGGTCAATGCCTTCTTAATTGTTGCTGCACTGCATCTTTTGTTCTTTTTTTTAACACTTCTTAGATTAGAAGACGATACACCCCTGCGAATATGCACTGTTTGCACACTTTGTGGGTAAAAAAAAACGCTTGGGAACTCTCCCTTGATGTGCCTTTAAAGTTGGTCCAGTAATGAGCAGTATCAAACAGTTTCAAAACATTTTGTCAAACCAATAAATAATGTTTGTTTTGTAAAGGTGTGCAGCTCAAATTAAATAAAACTTTTAAAGAATAAATTGAAGCTGTTTTGCAGTGTTTAGACTCTTTTTTTATTTTCTCAGAAATTGCACTATGAGTTAAACCAACGGTACCTTGCCTCAGCTAAAGTTCTTTGTACAATCACTTAGAGTTTTCAAATGAAAAAGGGACTTTCTAAGAATGTTGCCTCAGTAAACATATTATTTTTGGAATTGTCATTTTTTGGAATTGTCATTTTTTCTCAGCCTCATTTGCAATTTTTGGTCTGGTCAGTCTGTGCCTGCTAAAAGAAAATTATTCTTGCACATTTAAAATATATTTTCTCATGTTTTCCTGTGGAACCCTCTGCAAGCAGGGAAATAATTATTGTTTATCTTGTGAAAAGCTGACTGATGATTCATTTAGTCCAAGTCTTCCATGACACTGTAAGACTCAATAACCTGGTTTTCACATTGAGGTGTCACGAGACAGTCGCCAGGTTTAGCTGCCTCCTCAGTCAACAACCTAATAATTTCATTCATATCCTTTTCTGTTAGTTCAAGATGTTTTAAAATTGTTTTCTTGGTTTCCATGTATCTTGGAAATTTAATGGCATCAGAATATAGTTGTTTKTGAATTCTGAAAATAGAATAAGAACTATTTTAGATGGATTGCAATGTAGTAAACTGAATGCATATCATTTTATTTTCTAAGTATGTGACCAGTTTTACAGTCAGTTAAACACATCAATGAACTCTGTCAATTGATTTGATAGGAACCAATCAAAGTAATAATAAAAAAGGTTTGTCTTCATATCTGTACAAGTTGGYGGTCTAGGAAAATGTTTTGGCAGGTTCAAGCATATTTCATTGGTATCTAAAACCACAATGTCTGTTTGAGAACTGAAGTCACAATATTATTTGTAAGTTGCTGTATTATGTGCACAAAAACTTACAAATATAGTAGAGTAGCTGTTAATCCTCTCCACTCGATGGGTTTAAACATAACATTTTGACTTGTTAACCTAAATAGTACAACCACATACTAGATTTARAAAAAGCAGTTGTACAAAGTTACTGATTATTGTACATAAAATAAAAATTGTTCCTTGGTGCTAATGTTCTGTTTGTGTTCTTTTGTCTACAATCCATGACATATGAACATGATTCATGTTGAAAATAATACAATCCTTCTGCATTGGTGTTTCTTGCTAGAAAGTTATAAAATGATCAATTGTACACCATTAAAAAAATATGTTGCATGAACTTCTAATTTTACTCCAACATGGTAATGTTTCAAGATGGAGTACTTACTTGAATGTCCGAACAAGTCTACTAAAATGATCCTCCATGTCTCTGATATTGAATTGTGATGAAACCAGCATCTCTGGAAGTCTGTTTCAGTGAAAATATCATTAATCAATCAGTTTCATCAAATAATTATGGGTTCATTATCACTATTGTTATTAGAATTATCTGTTATGCACTTACAATTGTTTGAATTTTTGCAGTAATATTTGTCGCCTTATAGTAAGCTGTGCCTTTGAGTCTATTGGTGGCACAATGCAAGGAAATTCCTGAAAAAAATGCAAGATATCTCTTCAAGCAAATTCAAGTCATCAACRATTCTAGTAGTATCACACCTTATAAAACCCACCTTATCTGGATTATCTCTCTCTGTTATAGTAATTTCTTCAGAAGTGATATTTGATTTAGTTTCAACTATGTCATCTTCATCATTAACATTGGTGTTTTGAGTGGGTCTGAGAAAGTCAAGTGCTCTCTCTGTATAATTTGGAATATCCTCAGTAAAACCTGAAATAAACAGCATATAATTAAATATGTCATTGATATTATAATAAATAAATCACTATCATCATGCTATCAGGATTATTATTGATAATCTAGAGAAAAGAAAAAATAAYATCCTTTCAAGATGAGAATTCTGCATACTTAAGAATCATTATTGTTGAACTAAAAAATCTAAACACAAATTAAAACGTTTTATTTACAGTAATATTATATAAGACTYAAGRAAATCCTACCTTCTTCAAAATGTTYAGTTCCTGATATACATGTACCYATACTYAAATATTGAAAGCTTGCAGTWGTAAACCACTGCTGTAGAGTTTCCCTGATAAACTTTACAAAAACATCCTTTGTTTCATTGGCATTTGTTGACGAATAATTACTAGCTTGTTGGTCTAAATTATCCCTATCTTGTTKCTCATTCTTCAGTGTTAGTAATTTTTGACCGCACTTGAAYTCATTGTCTGTTAAAGTTGATACATTCTTGGTGGATTCACATGAGTTATTGTCATTTGAAGGAAATTTGTCTTTGGAAGACTCTGCTTTCCCTTCAAGCATTAGTTCTTGTGTTTGTTTGCTTAGTTTCGAAGAAAAACTAAGATGATTCAAGTCTTCTGTCAGGGCATCACATTTATTGTAAGCCTGGTCTTCAGTTGATTGTAAGTCCTCTTCACTAATGAAAAATTAAACATGTTGCACTATTAACAACTGAGGCAGTTTGTACAAAGAGTGCACAGGTGTTTGTTCCTTCTCCTCTCCTGTCTACTAACCCCCTCACCCCCCACCCCTCACCCCCACCCCTCACCCTCCCACCCCTCACCCCTCCCCTAGAACCAGGCAAAAAGGCTAAGCAACATAAGATGGCTTGTAACATTCATTTTTAATACCTTTGCTTTAAATGATGACTTTCACTGCCTACAAGCAATTCACCAGCTCCTGGTCTTGAAAGATWTTGGTGTACGCAAAATCAGTATAGAACAGCAAATTTGCATTGTGTTAACAATTTGAAAAATAACAAAACTGTACCTTGAAGATTGGTTTGAAGTTGTTAAGAGAGAAAACTTCTTAGGTCTGAAGARTAAAGATTAAATGAATGAATGAACAAATGCAAAGAAAAATGAATGAAAAAAGTAGATGGATGAAGAACAAAAAATAAATAAAATGATAGATGTGCTAGCAAACAAAGGAGTGATATCATAAACAAATAATGAGAAATGGATGAATAAATGAATGGGAAAAATGAAAATGAACTGAAAGAAATGAATAAATGGACAAAAGAATGAGCACACAGATAAATGGACACACAAAAAAGTGGATGTAAAAGGAATAAATGGAATATATTCAACTCACCAAAATGCATAGATTAAGCAACAACTAAAAAAATGAATGATTGACTGATCCAGTTTTACTTACAGTTCCTTTGTTCTTGTCCATACAGGTGATGTTGGGATCTGAGATTCGTAGAACTTGGAAGCTTTATAACACTGATTGCTACAAAAATGCTAAATAAAAACAAAATGAATTTATAATCAACTCAACGCTCTTCACTATATTCTTCTGTATAGTTTTATTATAACATTGAGTGGAGACCTTTTCACTTGGTATCATTGAAAAAGCAAGGAAAATGGACGTACAGTTACTTTGATCAAATGGCATCTTGAAATAAGTTATTATTAGGTTATTATGGTTAATATAATTATTATCATTATCTTTAGGCTTACCTTGCGCTCTGCAATATCAAAGACTCTGTTTGTTTGAACAGATATCTTATATTTTTGTTGTAATATCTTTAAACAAACAGACGAAAATTGTGTTAAAGTCATTCAAATAAACCACAATCATCATCACTTTAGCTATCCTCATCATGTAATTATCATTCATCATATCATTGATAATCCTACCTGCGACATTGTATTTGTACACAGTGGATATCCACAAACTTTGGCCAATGCCCTCTCCTCAGTGATGTCTGCATAGTGGCTTGGTGTTATATAGTTGCCCTRTTATAAAAATCTAGTTATTTCTACTGAAAATGTGCACCATCTTGGGAATAGTTACTTCAATCCTGGGCTACAACTTTTTATCGCGATTAATTATTTACATTACTAATATTATTTATATTCCAACAAATTATTAGTATTCTTCACTTACAATTTCTAGGAAATAGCTTTCGTCAACATTCTCCAAAACTAATTTCTCCACAATTCGATGAGCCTTTTCCTCTGCCGCGACTTGGGAACGAATAGCTGCTTCCAACTGCTTTCTTAAAAAAAGGAGAGATACTTTGTGTGGCTTACCAAATATCAGAGCGACACTGACAACAAGGAAAACATTTTTGCTTGTATTCAAAATTATGACACTCAGCTGTTTTGAAGTCAAAACATACTTTTTTGCAGAGTTTTCTTTGTCAACACTCTTCTTTCCTGAATTGCCTTTCTCTAAACAAAGTTTATTAATATATTTATCAAGATATGAGCTTTTTTAAGGGTAAGAAAGGTTCAAACATTCTTACTTTTCACTTTTCGTCTTTCGTCCGCCATTTTATTAGAAGTCTGGGACCGCACGGTTTCGGTTTCCTAAGGAACCCCAAAACAAAACATCTCACTGGAAACAAGGCTACACGTTGTATTTGTAGCTCATTAAAATAATTCACAAATTAATGTTTTCATTGCACTTTATTATCATCTAATATAAATACAAGCTATAATTTTCAACGAATTTATGAAATTAAGAAATAAATATACTTTCCTCTCTTCCATATTTCATTTCAACAACAACRACAGAAGAGGAAAAGCTCTTTTCACGTGTCTGAAAACCACACGTTTCACATTGAATGAGCAAAAACATTTATTGTTTACAAATGAGCAACCTTGAGAAAGCTTCAAATCAAGGAAAATGTACACAATAATCTGTKACTTTCATTATATGGAAACCTCAAGATAATTTCTTCCAGTTTCTCATTTGCAGTCTATCAATGTTTAGTTATTAATTTGTATTAAAATAATAAAACTAAAAAAGATAAAATCATGATAAAGGGCTATCAGTTTATATAAACAATCAATAACTGTTGTAATATTATTAGAATATTTCTGTAATACTGRAATCTGACTTCCTAAATTTCTACTCAAACTCAAACTTTCAGTTACATTAATAATAAGTGAGATATTGTTACTTAGTATCAAAACTGTGAATGTACATTTTAACTACATACAATTTTAGCAATGTTGTTGTTTTAGAAATACCCATAATTTTATGGGAGCTTTAATTTGGAATAGCTTTAAAGTATTATCATTTTGCTAGGATCTCGAATTTGCAGATAACTTGTAAAAGTATGGTGACACAATTAGTTCAAGATGAAAAGTGATTATTATTTTACACCTCACTATGCTACATTGTGCCAAGAGACAAAAWWAWTT